CGGCGCGGTCTGTCCCTGAGTATGGACATGGAGGTCCAGGGTCCGGCTCGGTCTGTCCCTGAGTATGGACATGGAGGTCCAGGGTCCGGCTCGGTCTGTCCCTGAGTATGGACATGGAGGTCCAGGGTCCGGCGCCGTCTGTCGCTGCACTTTGTATTAGTGGAGTAGAGGCATGACAGTACTTCCTGGAGGTTCTGTGGAGCTGGGGACCAAAGCCAGGACTCAGCGCGTGCTCAGCTTGTACTCTACAACTGGGCTAACCTCTGTACTTGCTCTTCACTCAAATGATTTCAAGATTTTATTTACTTATTGTTGTTTTTTCTTTTCTTTCTTTTTTTGGGGGGTAGGGGGGTATTTTAAGACAGAGTCTCTCTATGTAGTCCTGGCTATTCAGGAGCTCCTGTGTAGACCAGGCTGGCTTGAATTTGAGTTTGCGTCCCAAGTGCTGAGATTTAAGGCATGCACTGCCACCTGGCCTTGATTTTTTTTTGAGTGATGGTGTGTGTGTGTGTGTGTGTGTGTGTGTGTGTGTGTGTGTGTGTGTGTACACTCCATAGATATAGTAACAGTAATACTTTGCTGTGACTGTGTAGACAAAAGTATTTATGTTCCCAGATTTTTCTTAGTGTTCTTTTCTTAGAAAGCTAAAACGTATTGGTTATGGAGTGGAGAGGTGGCTCAGAGGTTAAGAGCATTGGCTGCTCTTCTAGCGCACCCAGGTTGATGCCCACCACCCACAGGGTGGCTCACAATTATCTATAGCTACAGTTCTAGAGGACCTGCTTCCCTTTATTGATACCACCCATGGTGCACAACACTCTAGACACAACACCCTGTTCTGCTTGGTTTTGCTTTTTTTTCCGTCAGTGTGACACAGGCTCTGAGTACTTTGGCAAGAGGAAAACCCAACCGATGAAGTGCTACCACCATATTGGGCCCTGGGTGTTTTCTTGATTGATGATTGCTATGGGGAACGTCCAGCTCTCTGTGGGTGATCACACCCCTGGGCAGGTAGCCCTGAGTTGCATAAGAAAGCAGGCTGAGCAAGCCAGTAAGGAGCATCCTCCATGGCCTCTGCATCACTTCCTGCCTCCAGGTTCCTGCCTTGAGCTCCTGTCCTGACTTCCCTCAGTGACAGAGTTTGACCTGACAGATGTAAGTTGAAATAAACCCATTCCTCCCCAGATTGCATTTAGTCATGGTCCTTATCACAGCAATAGAAACCCTAACTGAGACACACTCATACACATAAAATAGCTGAAAAAGTTCCTTAAAAGAAATTCACTGATTGTTGGGTATCGGTCATGTATGAAATGCTTTGGACTGGACATTCTCTAAGGACAGTTTCTAGAAGGAGAGAGCAGCAAAGCCTCATTCTTTGATAGTGAGCTTTAAAACGGGTTCCACTACTGCAGTTGTTCATACAGAGCCTTTGCCACCGTCAACTACAGCGTTGTGTGTCCTCAGACAGTACTGCTTGTCTGAGAGTAAGATTCTAGATGCTTAGGCTAAATAATGTGCTTTTGAAACTAGCAACATTTGATCCCCATTATTTTAAGATTTTGAGAAAGTGTGTCTTAGTTTCCTCTACCCTCACAGGGTTTGAGTTCAGTCTGTGGGGTAGCCTAAGGGCAAAGTGGTGGCATTATCAATTATTAAGTGAGAACACAGTTTGAAGCGGTGTGTGCAAAGAACGTAATAGTGTCTTGTAGGAAAATTATGATTAAAATCAGAGAGAAATTAGCATGGTATCCAACCTGCCTTCGTTGTTCAATACGGTATTTGATGTAGGTTGCTCGTATTTTAAGTCTTTTATTTCCCTTCGGTTTTAGCAGCATGATGTAAACTACTCCATCAGTATTTTTGATGAAAGCTTCTCACTTTCCGAGGAAGTAACAAAGTCCCCTTTCACAGGGAAGTGTCTGTTCATGTCAGGCCTGAGCGAGGTGCAGCTGAACCACATGGATGACCACACCTTACCCGGGAAGTACGGCATCGGATTCACCAACATGGTGGAACGGACGACACCAGGCAGCAAGGACCTGTCTAGGTAGCTATAGAACATGAGGTTTATTTTGCTGCGGGCGTCTCACGCCTACTTAGGAATATTGTACGGAGCCGATCTCCAAACCAGGATCCAAAACTGTGTGTGTGTGTGTGGGGGGGTGTTAACTGCAAACACTGCTCGTTAATGTTCCTCACTGCTTCTTACTTCAATTCTAGTAAAGAGTTTCGGGAAGGAGGCCGTATCCTAGTGCAGAAACTGCAGAAATATCAGCCACGAATAGCGGTGTTTAATGGAAAATGTAAGAATTACTTTTACATTTTTGTCTTTTCTCTATGCTGATGGCAAGGGCAGTGTTAAATGTGTTTGTGTTTTATTTTAGGTATTTATGAAATTTTCAGTAAAGAGGTTTTTGGAGTAAAGGTTAAGAACTTGGAATTTGGGCTTCAACCCCACAAGATCCCAGAAACAGAAACTGTGAGTCTTCCGAGTGCGTGTATAAACCAGCTACCCGGGGGGCTTCTAGCCAACTGTCCTTCGAGTTTATATCAGACGTTGTCATTTTTGCCATAAGAAAATCCACCTGTTGTGTTAAATAATTACCCCAGCTTAGACTTTCAGATGCAGTTAGAGTTTATTTAAAAAGTATTTGTCAGCTAAATGTCAAAGGAACTGGCACATACTACATTCAGAATATCATCGTTGATTACTTACAAATTCAGACATACATATGTATATAATCCTCAGTGGTAAAGTTAACTACTTCATTTGTATATTTAACCCTAGCTTAATCTTAGATCTGGACTTGCTAGACAAACAGCCAGCCAACTTGTTCGGTACTGTCACATGATCAAAGGTATCGTGAGACAGCCCTGAAGTTTGCTTGCTTTTTTGTTTTAACATTTCACTTATTTATCCATTTCCTTATTTATTTTTATGCATATGGATGTTTTGCTTAATGTATATAGACATTTGTCTATATACAACCACATGGCCCATGGAGGCCGGAAGAGGGGATCCAGTTTTCTGGGATTGGAGTTACCAGCCCCACGATGTGGGTGCTAGGAATTGAATCCTGGGTCTTCTACAAGAGCAGCCAGAGCTCTTACCACTAAGTTATATTATATAGGTATAGCGATTTTCAAACTAATTTCCCCAGAGTATCTGCAGACATTTGTTTCTGATTTTTGTTTACTCTCTTTTTTTAGTAAAATGTAGGGTTTTGTTTGTCTTGTTTTGTTTTTTGTGCTAGGGATCAAATTTGCATGTTAGGCACTCTACTTAGCTATACCGTGGCCCTCTTAAACATAGTTTTATACAGCTTTCTACTATTATTCCATGTGTGTGTGTGTATGTGTGTTTGTGTATATGTGTGTGTGTATCTGTCTCTGTGTATCTGTGTCTGTCTGTCTGTGCGTGTGTGTGTGTGCGTGTGTGAGTTGGGGATTGAACGTAGAGTTTCCTCACATGCAAGGCAAGTGCTTTAGCACTGATACCTCCCATCATTGAGGGAGGCAAGAACAAGAACTTGGAAGCAGCCATTGCAGCAGAGATTGTGCAAGAACATTGCTTACTCGCTTGCTCAGCTGTCTTCTAAAACTCGGGCTCTGGGCCTGGAGAGATGGCTTCTTGCTTACAGGACTGGCTGTTCTTCTAGAGGAACTGAGTTCAATTCCCAGCACGCACATGGCAGCTCACTCCTGTCTGTCATTCCAGTTCCAGGGATTCTGGAACCCTCACACAGATACTCATCCATGAAAACACCAGTGTACATACAAATAATTAAATCTTTAAAAATTAAGGAAACAGACAAGCTCATTGGACTAAAGATGGCAATACTCATAATCAGCTGGCTTTCCCATGTTAGTGTTTATGGAAATGCCTTGTGGGACCAGCAGAATGGCTAAGTGGTTGAGACGTTTTCTGCCAAGCCTGACAACCTGAGTTCATCCCCTAAACCCATGTTGTGGAAGGAGAGATCTGACTCCCACAAGTTATCCTCCTCCTTCCACTGGTACATATACCAATGCCCCGCCCCCAAAACTAACTAACTAACTAACTAGCTAACTAAGAAAGTGCCTCACAGACTAGGCCGAATAGTTAGGTCTGGGTGAGTCTTCAGTCGAAGTTCCTTCGTCACAGATGAGTTCAGATCTGGGTCAGTTGACAGCCAAGAAGTAACTATGGCAATGGTGGCAGTTCTCTAGGTAGCCCTGCCTTTATCTTCCCCAGTGTATGCTATCTACGAAGTTACTTGATGTTGTTAGTGATTTAGCTAGAAGTGAAAACAGTTTACTTTTCTTCTTTTTATTCTCTCTTAATTGTGTGTGTGAGAGAGAGGGAGAGAGTCAGGCAGGGGTCTCACTGTGTACATTTGACAAGGCTGTCCTCAAACCTACAGAGCTCCATCTGCCTTTGCCTTCTGAATGCTAGGATTAAAGGTGTGTGCCATCACCCCCGCCAGTCTACTCTAGATCATTTTAATTAAAGAATATCTTGAAAATGTGCTATTATAAAACATGCTAACACCCACACATCTGAATTAATCAGAAGTTTCTAAAAATTCTATAATCAAAGCAAAATAATTATCATGTATGATGAGGACATCTCAAGGCAAAATAATTATATGAAAGGAAAACCAACTTTAAACTGCCATATATATAGTAGTTTATTTCCTCACTCTTATGTAGAGAACACAAATGACTTCTGCTCTTTGAAGGACAGTTTGTCACCAATCAGAATGATAAGTGCAAGCGTCTTTCCCTACTGTCATTTACTCGCGGGATTTCATCCAGCTTCTAGGGACATTTCTAATTTCTAATATACACAGGCTTTATCCATAATTTATGAGAAAAGAACTCAAAGCAAGCTACACTTGGGGATCTTAAAGTGCAGGTTTTTAAATTGATTTTACATATATGTATCAAGTTATTAAGCCAAATAAAGTTCAGGTTTTTTTTCTTAACTACAGTATGATTAGATTCAGCCGAATGTTAAAATCTCTGAAACTTGTTGATCCCAGCTTTGCTACGTCATGCCGTCTTCCAGTGCCAGATGCGCTCAGTTTCCTCGGGCCCAGGACAAAGTTCATTACTACATTAAGCTGAAGGACTTGCGAGATCAGCTGAAAGGCATCGAACGCAACACGGACGTTCAGGAAGTCCAGTATACATTTGACCTTCAGCTTGCACAAGGTTTGTTACCGTTCCCTTCCCTCATCAGCTTCTTGTGTGTACGGAACAGAAAGAAGTAGCAGATTAAAAGCAGGAGGAAAGGAAACTGCGCTGTAGCCAGACGCTCTGTTAATGGGTTTTAGTGTCTGTTCACAGGCCCTTACACTGTGGTTTTCCCAGTGTTCTCAGTCCAAGGAGCATCTCTGCCCAAAATTAAGTGCAATGGAATTTTCCAGTTTTCACAAGCTAATTTAGTGTATGCTGCAAAGCATTTTAAGAGCAAGAGCAAATGGGGCGAGAGAGATGCCAGTGGTTGGGAGCACTTGTTGCTCTTGCAGAAGACCAGGGTTTGGTTCCCAGAACCCACCTTCAGGCAGTGTACAGACATCTGCAATTCCAGTTCCAGGAACTCCACTGTCCTCTGGCCTCCTTGGGCACTTGCATGCCTATAAGCTCATGTAACCTCACACACATATAAATAAAAAATAACAAATCTTAAAAAGAAAAAAAAAAGACCATAGCAAATTATATGACCAAGCTGTATTTGCATAGGAAACCTTTCTACAACGTCAGTTTCAATCCCCTTTACCCTCCCCACAGAGGATGCAAAGAAGATGGCTGTTAAGGAAGAAAAGTATGATCCAGGCTATGAGGCAGCGTACGGCGGCGCCTATGGTGAAAACCCGTGTAACGGTGAACCTTGCGGCTTTGCTTCAAATGGGCTAAGTATGTTTCCCTCCAGATCCGTCCTTTGAGAGGACTGGGGCTGATGGGAATAACAGAAATAGAGAGTGAGTGCTGAATATTTACAGTACGAATAGGACAATGTAGTTAAGCGACTAAAGCTTCTCACACATGATTTTAAGTTGGCCTATATTTATAGTGTTTCCCTCCTTGAGTGGCAAATGATGATTTATCACTGTTTTAAAAGCTCACTCAGTGTTTTAATAATTCTTTAATGCATTTTTAAAATCTCAGTAGATCAATTTAAACCTGACAAGAAACTAAGATTTTTTTTTCCCCTTCCCAGCAGCCAACAGTGCGCAGCCGAGAGAAGACCCGGCTCCCGGCGACGTTCCGAATGGACAGTGGATGGCACAGTCGTTTGCAGAGCAGATCCCTTCTTTTAATAATTGTGGGGCACAAGAGCAGGAAGAAGGAAGCCATGCTTAGGGCGATGTCTCTCAGCTCTGGCTCAGTGCTGCAGTTTTAATGCAGACGTCAGGACGTAGACCCTCAGTTTGCTAACTGAAGAGATTTAGTGTTAATAGTGCTTTACGCTAGTGGTGTGATTATATATGGAGCAGTTATATGTAGAGGCAACTGTGTAGTTTGGAAAGAAACAATAGGGTGTTTTGTACTTGAGTTTTGTATTTGAATTACCCATCATTCCAGCTTTTTATATACTATATTTCATTTATGAAGAAACTGGTTTTCTTTGAGAAATCACTTTGGTCTGTAATTTTAAAAAAGCAACAGTCTGAATATTTATAGTTGATTCTTCACTGTGCATACCTATATATGCCCTTATCCCTTTAAATGCCTAAGAAGAGCATGCCAGTAAGAGTCAAGCTGGTAGAAAGGCAGATGTGCCAGTCTCCGCGTCTGAAGCTGGGAGTGAACTCAGAACCACCCCCCTGGGTGGCAGTCCCACACAGACCCCCTTCCTCTCCCAGTGGAAGTTGCTTGATATGTGCCAGTTGCTTGATAATAGAAACACAGTATGGCCGTACCTGATGGGGCCTGAGCCCTGCCGTTGGCCTCTGCCTCTTGTGTGTTAATCCTCTCAGAGGCAGAAACAGGTTCCTGAGAACGCAGTGGAACTTGGACAGCTTGCCACTCATCTGTTTTCCTGAACCCCCGTCAGTGTTCATCACTGTTCTAATTTTATGCTTGACGTGGAAAGTGATAAGAAGTGAACTTTCCAGTGAGCAATGGGACACCACAGGTGTTTGTTTGATAATCCTGTTGAAACTGGTGCTGTGTACATGGGATGTACTAATACAGAACTTTTCTTGGTAGGCAAAGCTAATTATTAGTCAATGATTTAAAATTCATTGTCACTGCTATTGATCACTATGGACTAAGTGAGCCTCATGAAAAAGTTGATTGAAATGTGTACCTTTGAGGTTGCTAATGCATTTTCCATGGTGCTACGGATAGCCCACCGGGGCTGGTGGCTAGTAAACGTGGGTATTCAGAAATGCCTAGTGCATTCACTCCTGACCTCTCTGAGTACTCAGACGTGATGCACACCCCTGGAGCATGCTGGTTTTGCAGTATGAAATGTCCACAAGGGGTGTGTATTTCACAGAGCTTATGTAGCCTGTTCTATGAATAATGAGAGAAGCAGTTTCTTGGTAGAAATTTTAACATGCCTTTAGCTGTGGCAATGATGGGTTTTGTGTCTCCTTCTGTCTGGTCAGGCTGTGTACAAGCCCTGTTATTTGAAAAGTGCACTGCACTGCTGTTTACATGGGCTATTTATGCGGGTGCTTTCAAGTGCCTTGCATCAGGGATTAGGATCAATTGAACTATTTTTTCCATGGGACCATGGAAAGCATGTAGTATTGCTAGTATATAACTATTGTAGCTTTATCATGGAGAAATAAATACCTTTAAATTATGACTCTGGAGAGTGTGTGTGAGGACCCTCTGAGTACTGTCCTGGTGCTTTTCCTTGAACATGGTGAGTAGTGAGTGCTGTTGCTCCCTGTATGTAACGGGGTGGGTTTGTTTTCATTAAATAATACTGCGATTTTAAACTTGCGGAAGTCTGAGTGTTTTTACAATAAACATTAAGAATAGCTATACTTGACAATATACAGGCTTTTCTCAGCAAGATTTAATGGTATTTTTCCTCACTGGAAACCTGACAGTTTTCTTTCTGTTATATTTGACATGTAGAGCAGTACATGAGGAAAATCACAAAAGCTTGAATAGTTTATTTTTACAGATACTACAATTTTTAATTTATAATTTTATAAAAGATAAAACTGGCAACCTGTTTTAAAAAAAAGAAAAAATGTGCAGCCAGGTGTGGTAGCCCAGGCCTTCGATCCCAGTGCTCAGGAAGCTGGGGCATGCAGATCTTTGTGGGTGTGAAGTTGATATAGTGAGTTCCAAGTTATCCAGTGATATACATAGAGAGACCCTATCTGTTTGTTTTTGAAACAGTGTTTCTCTGTGTAGCCCTGGCTGTCCTGGAACTCACTGTGTAGACCAAGCTGTCCTCGATCTCACAGAGATCTGTCTACCTCTCTCTGCCTCTTGAGTGCTGAAATTAAAGGCATGTGCCAGCACCACCCAGCTAACTTGTTTATATTATTTTAAAACATGTATAGATGTTTTGCCTACAATATGTGCCCAGTTCCTTTGAAGGCCAGAAGAGAAGGTCAGAGCCCTTGGAACTGTATTCACAGATAACTGTGAACTGCCATGTGGGTGCTGGGGATCAAACCTGGATCCTTTGGAAGAACAGCCACACTTACACACTCTCCAGCTGGGGAGACCCCATCTTAAAATCCAAACAAAAGAACCGCTATAAGAATATCTAAGAAATTAGAGATTTTGAAAGTTTTCAGATATAGTTGTCATTCAGGTCAAGACCTGGGATACATAGCGAGACCCTGTCTCAAAACACCAAAAGGAATGAGTGGAGACTGCTCATAAGGTCATCTGAACTTCAAGAAGCTAAGTCTGTCCGTATGGGCCCCGGTTCTAATTGTACACAGTAGTTTTTGTTTCTTCACTGTAGATCATATATATCAGAAGTGTTGCTCACAAGGAACAGTGCTAGAGGATTCAAAGGGCCCTTCCATTTTTATCCTGGGAGTGTTTTAACTGTTGGAGTGTTTCATCTATTGTGATTCAGTTTAAAGATCCCTGCAGGGTCAGGGACAAACCAGCTTTCCCATAAGTCATTGTGAACACTAGGGAAGTCCCAGGGTTTATGTCTTCCATTCCAGTGGAGTAGCTTAGCTTCCTGAAGAAAGTGCTCTGAATATCTTGCATCAGGGTTCCAGCCTTCGGTGTGTGCAGAGGGAAAGAACAGGCTTGTTAGTGGACACGATTTTATATGAAACCTTGCATACAACCTATGGTAAAAGTTCCCGGTTCTATGTGTGCATTACATTGACATCAGGTTTCTTCCTCAGTTTCTTTCCAGTATTGAAGCAGTAGTCTCTCACTTAAACCCAGAGCTTGCCAATGTGGTCTAGCTAGCCCAGAGAATCCCCTGTTGTAGCTACCTGAGTGCTGGGATTGCTGGTAGCCACTATGCTTGTTGCTTTTTGCAAGGGTCCTGGGGGTCCAAATTGTAGTCATACTTGCTTGGCAAGTGCTTATATCCACTGAGCCATATCCCCAGCCCAGCTTCATGCTACTTGTTACTGACCTCCACTTTGATGGGATTTCACGTATATGAAAACAGTGGGTTTTGACCTAATAGCACTAAAGTGCAAGCTGTCGAAGGTCACATGTCAGTAGGTTCTGTACACTGGACCGTTGCAAAGTGCAAGTTCTGTGCTAAGCATCATTCCAGCTTTTCTTTAAATAATTTGCTTTTAAATTTATTTTTATTTTATGTGTATTGTGTGAGAGTCAGATCTCCTGGAACTGGAATTAGAGACAGTTAGGAGCTGCCCTGTGGGTTCTGGGAATTGAACCTGGGTCTTCTCAAAGAACAGCCAGTACTCCTAACTGGAGCCGTCTCTCCAGCCCTAGTCAGAATCCTTTTCTTGAATCCTAGAGCACACCCCTCTGGCAACTAAAGATACCATCTGCATTTGCAGGTTCTGAGCCTGAGGGTTAAGGAGGAGAGGTGGCCAAGGTCACCCTTAGGGCTTGAAGCCCTGAGCTATAGGTGCTGGCAAGGCGGTGTTCACTGGGTAAAAAGTTCACTTCCCCTGCTTCCTGGATGGACTTACCGAGGTGCCTTATGTGCCATAGCGGGTTGATGGTGGAATACTTCCCATGAAACACAATCAGCATCGGAGAGGTAGCTACTCCTCCTCCCAGGGAGCTGCTGTAGAGGTTTTCTCTAAGAAATGGGATAAAGTAAAGCAACATTTGGTCTGAAGCCCTCACAAACATGAAGTAGATAGTTGCTAATGCGGTCAGTCCTTCGGGAGAAAAGAGGCTTTTCCACCTTCCTCCAACTTTTATTCTTTAGTCAGGGTTTTTTGTTATTAGAAACAGGGTCTCACGTAGAGCAGACTGAACAGCTGAGGAAAAGGTTTATCAGGCCTGCTGTCTTCACTTCCGGTGTGCTGGGATTGTAGGCATGCACCCTCGCACCTCTCTCCCAAGTACGTCATGTAGAGTCACAGTATGTGATCCAGAGCCACTGTCTCCTAATGTATGTCACCTAAGGTCACACTCTCACGTGTGTCACCTAGATTCACAATGTTAATACTTGTTAATATCCTGTCACTAGCTCTCGTGGTTTTTTAATGGTAGGCTCAGAAAATCAAATTTTGATCCTATATTATTTATAATTACATACAAGTTCAATGGTACTAAGAAACAGACGAAAGAGCTGGAGAGATGGCTCAACAGTTAAGAGCACCGGGGCTCTCACAGAGGACTCTCAGCATCCAGGCATGCAAGTGGTGCACAGACACACATGACACCGCTCTGGCCTCCAAGGGTACCAGGCACAGCCATGCATGTCGTGCACAGACACTCATGAAGGAAGCAGAACGCCATACGCATAGAATTAAAATTAATTTTTTAAAAAATAGGGGAACTATAATGAACAATTTTTAAAATATATAAGATATTTAAATTTTAATATAAATATTTTAGATACTATAAATATTATAAATATAAAAACAATAAAGACTGGGCTGGAGAGATGGCTCAGCGGTTAAGAGCACTGACTGCTCTTCCAGAGATCCTGAGTTCAATTCCCAGCAACCACAAGGTGGCTCACAACCATCTGTAATGGGATCTGATGCCCTCTTCTGGTGTGTCTGAAGAGAACAATGGTGTACTCATATACATAAAATATAAATAAATCTTTAAAAATGAATAATAAAGACTGATAGGAAAGACGATGATGTGGTAGTGGTTGTGTTAGTAATTTTTTTGCTCTATTTTAAAAATCTGATCATTAAAACCCTGAAATTTTAAATTAAAAATCACTTTTAATTCAAGACCTGGGGAGGAAACTCAGTCAATAAAGTGCTTGCATCTAGCCCCAGAACCCATGTAAAACCTCCCTGCTTGGAATCCCTGCATTAGAAAGGTGGAGACAGGAGGATGGCTAGCTGCCTGGCCTAATTGCTGAGCTCCAGGCCAGCAAGAGAGACTGTCTCAAAAGGAGCTGAACTCTGCTGGCAAGGATGAACCCTGAAGTTATCCACACACATACCTGTGCACACACTCATATATACATGTGCAAACACACACACATACACACACACACACAAAATGAGCATCAAATAAAAGCATTTTTTAAATGCTGGCTCTATGGAGTTAGTCTTAAAAGTAGATCTGTGGCCAAGTATGGTAGTGCATATCTCGAATCCCAGAATATCAGAAGCAAAAGCCAGCCTGATTTCTTAGTGAATTCCAGGCCCACAGATTAGGGCTATATAATGAGACCTTGTATTTTTTCAATGGAAAAGATTCAAGCCACATTATTAAGCAACTTATCGGGAAGAAGAAAGAGGCATGAATTCCTCGATTTTTCAGATTTCTGTCATTTGGGGAAAGACTGTTCCCATGATCATTTTCTTGGTCGACAGATTCTATGAAAATCTGACCTCAGATGTCTTTTTGGTTTTGTTTTAACTCCTGAGCTATGCAAAAGTTAGCTAAGCCCTCTGTTCGCAGCTGGGAGCAAGGGTGGCAGAGAAGCCGGCACACGTACTCCACATTCTTTTGCATCCATTTTTCCAGCTGTTTGGTGATGCGCTGGTGTTTCCATTCGGTCATGTTGGCAACAATCACACCAGGATTGAATGAGCAGGTGCTGGGGCTGATGCCAAGGTCCTTTATGGTCTTCTTCCGGTAGTCGAGATAGCCCATGTATGTGTTCTGCAAAAGAACAGGGTGGAATCTTCTGTTTAGGGAAAATGGTTTACATTCTTGAAGCTGTTCTGCCCTATCTCTGGGCCCACTGCCCACTGGCAGCTTTCCACCTTCTTTTGGTGGGTTTTGTTGAGGGAACAGGGTCTCACTTTGTAGCTGTGGTCATCTTGGAATTCACTGTGTAGACCAGGCTGGCCTCAAATTTACAGAGATCTGCCGCTGCCTTTCCAGTGCTGGGATTAAAGGCATGTGCCACCATGCTGAGCATATGTCTAAAGGTGTGTGTGTATGTGTCTGTCTCTGTGTCTGAGTGGGTCTCTGTGTATGTGCACACACGCATGCATGCCACAATATATGTGCAGAAGTCAAAGGACAACTTAGAGAGTTGGTTTATCTTGGGTTCAGGTCAGGCTTCCAGGACAAGTGCCATTACCCACTGAGCTATCTCACTCTCCTTCAAAGCCTCTGAATGCTGGGTGCTCTGCTCTCAGTCCCAGCACCTGCTACTTGCTTGTCTGACTCCACTGAGAACCGTTCTGCTTCAGGGCTCTAAATTCCATCTGTCTGACAGCTCTGACCTCTCTAGCCTTCCAACAGCCACATCTGCCTAGTTGGAGTTGCCTTCTTGATGCTTAAGCAACACCAACAGGTAGATTGTATGGCGTCCTGTCTTAAAGCTGGCTCCCCGCTATTCCTGCCTCAGTAGATAGTATCTGTATCCTTGTTATTTAAGAAGAAGCGCAGTCAGGCTGGAGAGATGGCTCAGCGGTTAAGAGCATCATCTGCTCTTCCAAAGATCCTGAGTTCAATTCCCAGCAACCACATAATGGCTCACAACCATCTGTAATGAGATTTGATGCCCTCTTCTGGTGTGTCTGAAGACAGCAGCAATGTGCTCACATACATAAAATAAATAAATCTTTAAAAAAGACGAAAGAGAAGCGCAGTCATTAGACCATCCTTAGCTCCTCCTCATCCAAATCTATGGATAAATCCTGTTTGTCTCAGTTTCAACATGCCTCCTGACACCAGCTAGTCTCAGCACCCAGTGTGTCTTCCTGTTCCTGACCACAAAGTGCTACCCATTGCCTGCTCTCTTTAAAACAATTTCATTTTTTTTCTTACACGAATGAGTGTTTTGCCTGTGTGTGTGTGTGTGTGTGTGTGTGTGTGTGTGTGTGTGTGTGTGTATGTGCCATGTGTGTTCCTGGTGCTCAAGGAAGCCAAACCACTGCCAGCCCGTGGTGATGAGCAGTGTTACAGCTATCCATTTAGAGTATTCTCCACACATTGGACAGGTCACAGCACCCCATTTTATCTCACAAACACAAGGGAGTAGACAGCATCTGTGCTGTGAGGCAGATTAGAAAAATCAGACTTCACGGGGTTACAGAGATTGGCCTGAGTGGGTGGGAAAAGTGGAACCCCCCATGTCGTCCCTATCTCCTGATAGTTCCCACTGGCTTTGGATTGGTGGATTGTGATAATTTGGATAAAGGGCCAGAGAAGACGGCTAAAAGTAGGATTCTATGATGGCAGGCCTACCTGTATCCCCACAAGTCGGTGGATGTCCTGAGCAGAAGGCAAATCACAGTCATCTGAGAAGGCCGCTGCATGGCCCAGAGCCAAAGTGGTGTCATACAGTTCCTGGATATCGCCTGCATTTGGAAGTATCAGCAAAAAGAACACAAATATCTCAGGACTAGACAGAACCTCTGCTTAATTCCTAACTTCAATAGAGCAAAGGGTACAAACTTCCTATGTTCCCATGGCGTTGCAGTGTTCTTAAGAACTGTTCATACCCGGAGGGCTGTGGTCATGCATGGCTTTAATCCCAGCACTTGGGAGGCAGAGGCAGGCAGATTTCTGAGTTCAAGGCCAGCCTGGTTTACAGAGTGAGTTCCAGGACAGCTAGGGCTACACAGAGAAACCTTGCCTCAAAACAAAAAGCAAAAACAGCTCATGCCTTGAGGGAGGCACTTGAAACACTCAGATGGGTGTTGATCAGGTCCCTTGCTGTGCAGTCTCTGAATGCTCATGTCATTTGCATGTGGAAAAAACCACAACATGCACACACACAACCAAGTGTGACACCTTACCTCTGCATGTTTTAGGAATGCAGAGATGCTACCAAGGAATAGACTTGGCAATCAGAGAGGGCCCTCAGACACCACCAGATTATCCAGGGGTGTGTCAAACCCTGCGTCCAAAATATGTCCAGTGCTTGTTTGTTTGTTTTGTTTTGGTCTTTAGTTTTGACACAGGGTTTCTCTGTGTAGCACTGGTTGTCCTGGGACTTGCTCTGTAGGCCAGGCTAGCCTTAAACTCAAAGATCCACCTGCCTCCGTCTCCTGAGTGCCACCACTGCCAGGCCTCAAAATATGCTTAGTTTTACAACAATGCTGTATTCACTTTACAAAGTGTTTGAAGTTACTAGACGGCTAGCTACATGGGAAATGAAGAGAAAGGATGAGTCGTTCTGTTTGGCAGTTGCACCTTCCAGGGTTCTTGGCAGTCAGCAAGCATACCTTGTACAATGACATCATCGTCCAAATAGATGACTTTCTCATGCTGGTGGACAAGCAGAGGGAGATAAAACCGAACAAAGTTCAGCTGTGAAGACAGAGAAACTGTGGTAGGAACAGGCAGATGGCTGGAGGTTGTACACACATGCAAGTTAGCTTTGACCGTGCCTGTTTAGCCCCATGCATGGAATAGTATAAAACAGACTAAAGCAAAGCCTCACCTGGCTTCTTAGCACCTGATCCCCTGGGCTCTGGAGATGAGACCAGGCTGGCCTGGAGAAGCTCTCCTTCATCCAGACCCCCACTCACTGAACCAGTGTCCACTTCTCATTCAGGGACAGCTTCAGTGGGAGTCCCCAAAACTCCCTAGTCAGTCTTTTAGGGTATAGACTTCTTGCTTTCTCTACCTTTCATCAATTAGATAACTCAAGTAATTAATCAGTCTTCATATTCACACACACACACACACACACACACACACACACACACCAGCAACAAGCCCAGCTTTTTAACTTCTTGCTCCAGAAAACAGTCAGAGAAACACGAGTTTGTAGGGTTTTCATTAGTGACATTCAGTTATTGTAATCAACTGACATTAAGTGGCCAGAATTAGAGAAGGGTCATGTCACAGACAGAAGCTTTAGAAGCTAGTTAGAAAAGAGGGATTTACATAAACTGCATATAACAGTGGCCAGTCTTAACAAAATTGCCATCAGAAACTGCTCTTGGACTGGAAAGATGGTTCAGTGGGTAAACATGAGGACCTGAGTTCGAATCCCCAGTACCCACATAAAAAGATGAGTGAAGCACACTTGCCCAAAACCCCAGTGCCGGGGAAGACAAGTTGGGGCTAAAAGAGGGGTGAAGAACTAGAGGGACGCTGGAGAAAGGTTTGCTTGGGCTCACTGACACATAAGCATATAACACACACACACACACACACACACACACACACACACACACACACACACACACAGCTGTCCTTCATGAAGGAGACAGATTCTGTGTGGGCACTCTTGCAAGAGAAATGACCCCCAGCACTAGGAAAAGGAATGATTTCTCCTCAAATACGCTGTGGCCAGCATGGAGGCACATAGCTATCGTGCTGCTGACTTCCCTTGGCTTCCAGAAGAAACAGAGCTACCCGATTACGAAGCAGAGAAGATGCAAGAGCTAAGGTGCTTTGCATGATTTCGCTGACCTCACTACCCCGCCCACCTCCAGCTCCCACCCACAGCGCCTCTGACCCAGCCAGACCTAGTCTCCATTTTTATGCCTCATTTCTTCCCAGTAGCTTCATGATGCTTACATAAACCATCTCAGATCCTTCCTGGAGCAGCTGGCTGCTAAGTTAAAAATAAGCAGAGCTTCATGGAGATCTAGCACACATGGGACTGAAATATCCTATGTGCGCATCAGATGGCAAGGGCTCTACGGGAAATGTGGATGCAGGACTGTCCCCACTGTCTCCACTGTGTGCATGACTTGTATACTCACAGGCTGGAGCAGCTCAGGTCTCGAGGAGTCTGGTCTAATCTTCCCCTTGAGGACTGTAGGGTTGAACTCCACAATCTTGAAGTTTATTTCTCTCAGTTTAGAATGTTCGATCCATTTTCTAAAGAGATAACAGAAAAAAAATCTCAAGTACACATTTCCTCTATTTAATCTGCATATGCTCCCCGGAGCTCACGTGCACTGGCCTTAGCAAGCTACAGTTAAGTGTACGTGGGCATCGTTTCCATGCTATAACGTCTTCTGATTGCTTCGCCATCTGGCCTCACTTCCGATATCTCCTTCCCCTAGCCCCCAATTTCATAACTCATTCTGCAAAGGAAATGAACAAGGTAGCAATAACTGAGTAGAGCCCCACATCCAAAAATCCTCTCAGGAAACTAGAGCAGCAAGATGGGGCTCTTCCAGGGCAAGCAGCATCTGCTCTTGCCAGACTTGCCACATGCTACTGCTGAGCCACTATGGGGGGGTCTGTGCAGTCCTCCTGTTCCCTCCCCCTCTGTCTCTCACCCCTCCTCTCACCTCCTTCAGCCTGTCTTCTTTCCTCCACCACCCTCTCTCCTTCAGCACTCAGTCTTACAGGATGTTTTTCATCTGATTCATTGTGACATTCCTGGTAGAAATCGTCTCAAAACAAAGTTGGCAGCCACCCAAGCCACAGAAGGCAACATTTGCAGTTGATTGCAAATTGGCAGGAAAGGTCTAGGGGTAGGTAGCTGGGTGGCAGAGCTCTTGCGACTGCTGCTGGGAATGTGGTAGTTGCCACCGAAGTATGTTTGCTTGTGGCGATCTACAGAGATGAACTGTGGGTTTGAATCTTGTACTTTATGTTCGGCCTCAATGAGAACAGGTTTCAAATGTATTTAAACACCGGGGGAGGAGGGACCAACTAGAACTAGGGGCGGCCCACTTCGTTGATTGTATGGCTATATAGGAATTGTGTCATCTATTCTTTTTTTTTTTTTTTTTTTTTTTGGCTAGTTGGTTAGTTGGCTGGTTGGTTAATTGGTTGGTTAATTAGCTAGTTGTCTGGTTAGTTGGTTGCTTTGTTATTTGACTAGTTTGTTTATTTGGGATAAGGTCTTACCATGCAGCCTAGTCTGGTCTCTAATTTGCAATCCTTCTTCCCTAGCCTCTCGAGTACTCGAGTATAGGTGCTGGCTCTTAGTGGTGCTGTTTTTACAGAGCTGTGGATGGAATCCTGGGCCTTAGTATCTGTTCATATTTTAAATTCATTTCCCCACTAGGATTACAGTTTTTAAAATGTCTGCAATAGTTCTTCACTATAAGCCATACTTCTTACTAATCTATTTTAGAACTAATCCCATTCACTGTTCTTCAGTATCCAGAAGTTCTTGTGTCACATAGGCAAGTCTGTCAGCTTTTTTCCCCCGAATTCCTCTGCTCAGGGAGGCACTGTCCAGACCAAGATCATACAGTTATTTATCCTTCACTTCTAAAACACATTTAAATTTTGATTTTTCTGTTGTTCTCTTCTTACTCTAACTCCAATTCATTTTTTTTTTTTTTAGTATGGCATGTTACAGAAAAAACAAACTCAAAATTATAATATGATCTATAAAATGTTATCACTGTCAGTTTGTAGTTCAAATGTCACAGGTCATGTATGGCTCAGTGGTAGACTAAGCATGTGCTTAGTCTGTGTGAAACACGGATTAAGTCTCTAACACCTTTCCCTGAAAATACAGTTAGTGAGGATGCTTAAGAAGTAATACTAATCCATTAAGAAAATAGAAGGGGGTGCTGGAGGCTCAGTGCTTAAGAGCACTGACTGCTCTTCCAGAGGTCCTGAGTTCAATTTCCAGCAACTACATGGTGGCTCATGACCATCTATAATGGGGTCTGATGCCTTCTTCTGGAGTGTCTGAAGACAGCTACAGTGTAGTCATATACATAAAATAATTTTTTAAAAAGAAAGAAAAATAGAGGAAGAAGAGGAGAAACAAGAAGAACAACAAGAAGAAAGAAAGAAGAGAAGGAAGAAAAGACAAAGGAGGAAAAGGAGAAGTTGATGAAAATGATGAAGAAGAGATGGCTATCTAAAGAAGAAAAAGAAGATTAAAAGAAAATAGAACATTCAAAAAAAACCACATCATACAAACTACCGTATTCGAGGTAGAGTGTTCCGTAGTCCAACTACATAGAACACAATGTTGGCATCAGTGTTGCTGTAGACACTGTTGATGGCCGCCATGGCCGCGCCCATTCTCCCTGCGGCTGCACAAATCACCACTGGAATCTCCTCTTCCACATCCTCAGGGGACTCAGAATCATCATCTGGAAAATCAATGACTCAGAGCACAAGGAACTTCACGGGAAAGCAGTGCCTAACTCCTAGTCCACAGTACAGGGGAAGACTGTTCCCTCACACCCAGTCTCTCCTCTGACCTTTGGAGACGGGTGTGAAAGCTTCAGCTGGCCTATAGCCAATCACTAAAACTATTTTTAAAAAACAGTTTTTAAAAAACAAAACCAGACTTGTTTACAGATTGTTCCTCTAGGGGCAAGCTGTCACCGTGCAGCCACATTAGGTGATCTAACCGACATGCAGGCTTGGCTGTGCCAATCACCCTTGGCAGTTCTTCAGGAACACCAAACTCGTCGTGATTGCCTCAACACCAGGCGGCGCATGCTCTCTTCTGTCTTTACTCATGCTACTCCGGTTGTCTGGAATCACTCTCTGCTCTTCGTGGTTAACTCTCACATATCCATCCCAGCTGCATACTGACATCCACCGTGAAGGAAGTCTGCGACACCTTCCCAACACCTCCTGGGTGCCTGCTGTGTTTGGATTCGTCACCCACACTGTTCATTTGTCCTTTCCTATTGCATAGGAGCGTCGTGAGGGGCAAGACCACAGCATACTACGTGTCTCTGTCCTCTGCATCTGTCCCAGGGACCGTACAGAAATGGATGCTCTTGTCATCCATCTCTTTTCCTGCCACTGTAGAGCCTATCTTGTGCCTGGGTCTCCATCAGACTGTGAGCTTGTTGAGTCACTCCGTGGAGCCTGGCTCCCTGGAAGTGTGTGGTGAAAATCTGCTGTGAAGAACTGAGCTGAGCCATGGAGTGGCCCTAGAGCCCAAGGCCCTCCGGGATGTTTGTAGGGACAGGAAGATAGGAGAGTGGAAAGGCATGGGTAGATCCTGGAACAGAAATCTGTCAGTCCTGAGTGCTAGGATTAAAAGTACGCACCTCTGTGTCTGGCTAAATGAATGCTGTTTAAGTAATAAAGACTAATATAGATTTTGTGGAAAATTTCCAGCCAAAACAGAAAAGGATCTGGTAAAGCTTAATTTTTTTTTTCAGACTTGCCCACTCTTACTCCAAAGGCAGAGCTCTGTCATAGTGTGGCTGTGCCCCTAAGCATTCCTTTGTGTGAGTTCTAAAGGAGACACATATAGTTGATTTGTGTGTGTGAACACGGAAGTTTATGTATTAAGCACAGGTCAGAGCAGGACGCCCAGTGTCTTCCTCTACAGCTCTCCAGGTTACTGCTTTGGAGCAGGGTCTCTCACTGAACTGAAGGCTTGCCGTTTTGGCTAGGTTTGGCTGGTTGGGCAGAGAGCTCTTGAGAACCACCTGTCTCTGTCCCTTCAACACTTGGGTTACAGGCACTGATGATAGCCGCGCCTGGCGCTTGCCGTAGGTGCTGGGAACCAATATGTCTCCTGCAAGGGCAGCAGCCCTCTTCACTGCTGAGCTTCTTCTCCCCAGCCCTCTGAAGGGGAGTTTTTGTGTCGAGCTGTTAGGAGCCTTTCAATACATACTAAATGGACTTGTTCAGTAAAAGGAGGGAAGGGGCAATTCTCAAAAGCAAAATGAGGAGAGGCTCTACAGAACAGGGTGCTGAGAAGTCCCTCAGGATAGGTCCCAAAACCAAGAGCCCTAGCACCAACTTGGAGGTATGAGAAATACAGATCCCTAGGTCCACACTAACTGTGATGCTAAACCTCCCCCCACAAGGTGGGATTCCACACCATCTGTGATGTTAAATTCCAAGTGGGATCTAGTGATGAGGTTTTGCTCTGTTCATTTGAGACAGGGTCTTTGTTGCTTTGTAACTCAGACAAGACAAGCCTCGAACTAATAATGTAGCCCAGGCTAACCTTAAACTAACAATCCTTCTACTTCAACTTCCAGGTGCTGGGATCACACCTGTGTGTAGCACACTCAGCCCAGGTGTGTTCTAACAGGCCTTCTATGTGACTTTTATATGTGCTACGGTTTGAACATTACCAATCATTACATAGCTTAACCCACTTGCCTCCCTAGGGAAGAGACTCTAGAGTATCTTAGTATAGTATAGACTCTTAGGAGTTAACCGAATTGTCAATTGCCAATGAACCCAATCTGTGAAGAAACCCAATGGAAACCATTAAAACCACCTTCTTAGGGTCTTGTCTTGACAGACTCCATGCTTGCTTACCTGCCTCGTTCTTAAGTACAGCTCCTTTACGAACTTTCTTGTACAGGATCCCACAGAGCGTCAGGACCAGAAGAAACAGCAACACTTGATTAACTGAAATAAAGAGGGAGGTACATCAAAGTCTCAAAGCCCAAGGGAAAATCTTGAATGGCAGCGTGGGCAGCCATACAGAGGACATGGGGCAGTCTGTAGTAACGCAGTGAGCCGGTGCACTATGGTCGGCTCCTCAGAGTGCAAGGAGGACTCAGAGCTAACCCAGGCAGTCTGATGGCAGCAGCCTCAAACTCAGTCACCCCAGGAAACTGCCTTGCACGAATATTTCATCTATCTTGTAAACAGCATCATTTCTAGAATGCCTTCTGTGAGCTGCTGTTAATTCTGAACACACTTAAAGTTGTAGAACACAGCTATGTCTTAGTTAATTCAAATGCCAGTGGAGAATGTGCCGAGAATCCTGGCTCCTGGTAAGGGTCACAGTGCTTCTAGTTCTGCCTCCCTCTGTTCCACACTTGTGATGCTTGCTCCTGGGATGATGCAGGGCAGCATTTTTTGAGTATGGAACACACATTCCTGGTTGTTGGTAAACTGATTGGGGACATTTGTGCTCACAGAGCTAAGCAATATTCAAACCATGTATGAAAAAACCAGTCTCTGATCTCAGCACTGCAGGCATGCAACATAAGCTACTCAAAAATGAACATTCTTCTAATTGAATGAATGTATTACAAATTACAAAGCATCTTCTTTTTGTGGCAGGGAGTAGATATTTACATAGGGTAAGCATGAGTGTGAAGTGTAGGGCATGATGGGAGAGTCAGGTATGTGGCCCAGGCCTGTGGCCTGGCACTCACCTGGCAGAGGCGGAGGATCAGTGCAAGTCTAAGCCAGCTTGAGCTACATCGTAACTCTTATGGGGAAGGGAAGAGCTGAGACAAGAGGTCAGATTCCAACCTCATTCTCTCCGCCTAGCTCTGCAAACTTAGACAGGTTACCTAACTTCCCTGAGCCTCTGTGGGCTTCTCTGATACCAATAAAAATATTAAAAATTTAAGCTATTTCTCTAAAGATAATTATTGGCTTTATGCTAGTTATTTTTCGACTCTCAAGCTTTTGGGTTCATATTTGTTTTTAAAAAATGTACCTAGAGAGTCTTAGGTCCTGAACCTCCATAGTTCAATCTCAATGAGGTCCTGTTCCCAGCTCTCCCTCCTGCCCACTTTGGGAAGATTCAGGCATAAACAGCTACAGACCAGGAAGAAGTAAAAGGTTCTAGAGGCCTCAGGAGAGCTGACAACTATCCACCTGCCACAGTGTTTAGAGAGGTAGCCTAATGCCTAATTCTTCCAACTGTGGCTGTTACCACTGACAAAAAGTTGCCAGGAAAAAAAAAGAATTCTCAGCTTAAGTATGTTCTGTACACTATTTGGAATATATACTAAAAATAATCTCTCATTTATAAGAAATTCAAATTTAAATGGTTGTTTTTCATTTTCATTTCAATCAGAGAGCTTTAGGAGTGGCAGTAACAGCATCAGGTCACTGTGGTTTTCCTTAAATTAACAATGTCCTAGTCTGAAATCAGGAGAGATTATAGTGTTTAAAAAGGCATGAAGGTTTGACCTGACCCTTTAAGAACAAGAATAGAAACTTATTACAGGACAGGTTGTGTGGTGCATACCTTTAATTCCAGCACTCAGGATGCAGAGGCAGGCAGATCTGAGTTCAAGGGCAGCCTAGCCTGGTCTATAGAGCAAGTTCCAGGACAGCCAGAGCTATATAGAGAAAACCTAGCTCGAAAAACCAAAACCAATAAATAAATAAGTTAATAAAATAGACCTTTACAAATGTTTAGGCATGAATGCAAATACTTATTTGGAGTGAGGAAATGATTGTAATCACAGGTTTCATTAAAAAAATATGATCCACAGAAATTTATGAAATGGATTTAGCACCAAAATGGTACGTCCATTTCTAAACAAAAATCTCAGCAAAATCCCACAGGAATCTCCTCAAGTGATGAATGATCACTTGGGAAATGATCTATGAAAAGCACTCACATACATACACACTCACACATACATACATACACACATACACACATAGATACACACTCACACATATACACATTCATACACATACACACGTACACACACATAAACATTCACACACATACACACATACATACTTACACGCATACATACATACACACATACATACACACACATACACACATAATACACAATCACACATGTACACACACATAAACATTCACACACACATACACACATACATTCACACACATACATACATACATGTGGGGAAAATTTAAAAAGGCCGCCACAGCGGCGCAAGCCCACGGCGGGGCTTCCGCCACCTTGGCGGGTCCCACATCAGGGAGGGAAATCCTATGGTTCCAGCGGCCTGAGGGCCTTGGCGGCGGCAGGCCCCAGTAACACGAGGAAGTCCTTGGTTCCAAAAAGGTTTATTGTCATGGCGGATAATAGATGGATCTAGGCGTACCCCCCCCCAAAACTCAGGGCAGTCCCGAGTTATATAGGGAGGGAGAAAGGGGGAGAATTAGGGAAGGATCTGGGGGAGGAATGTTTAATTTGCTCTGCCCTCTGGCCTTCATTAGTATGTAAATCTCTAGGCCTGAGGCCTATAGCCTGGCCTATGTGACTCTATGGAAATGTGACTGTTTTTCAGGATCCTAGGTGATGGGAGGGACCGAACTCCTGCCAGTTCTCACGCAGAATTCCACGGAGAATCTCGGGGTTCTAAGTACCTGCTCAACCATGACCCAGGATACCCTTATGCAGTCCCACACATACACACATACATACACACATACATACATACATATATACACACTCTCATACACATTCGCACATACATACATACATACACATGTATACACATTCACAAACACACACACACATACAGACATGTACACTCTCACATACACATATATACAAATACATAAACACACACATACACATATACATACATACACACTCAGACACACACATGCACACATGCATGCACACACACACACAGACACACACACACACAGACACACACACATACACAGACATACACACACACAGAGCATGCATCATCAAAACACTCCTCCAAAACAACTTTCTTCATAGTTATATTCATAAGTTCAATTCTTACGTTTGCGTAGAAGAGCCATGTGTTTCCACCTGGATAACAAGGACCTGTGGATTGAAGAGTAAAATGTCACTTAAAAAAAATAAATCAAAGCCAAAGACATTAAGTATTAAAAAGAACTGCATCTCCTCTGGAAATGTGGTATGTTGTAAAGTGTATATCATCCATTACTGTTCTGGATCTAGAATTTTGGTAAGAAAATAAATATTTCTTGAATGTTGTCTTAGTTTCTTGTTGCTATAAAAGAATATCCTACACCGACAAAGCAACTTAAGAGAGAAAGGATTTACTTTGGCTCACAGTTCTAGGGTATAGCCCATCACAGCAAGGAAGTCAAGGCAGCAAGAACTTGAAGCAGACATCACACCCACAATCAGAAGAAGAGAGTGAGGAATACTTACACAGTTCCCCTTGTCTGTACAGCCCAAGAGCCTAGCCTAGGGAATGGTACCACCCACAGAGAGCAGGCCTTTCCACTGCTGTTAATCACACATGGACTGCCTACTTCAAGAGTGATTATTCTGGCTGAACAAATGAATCCAAATAGATGATCATTTCTCTTCAGTTTGTTTGTGTCAATCCCTTTCCAAAAGGAGCCCCATTATCTTTCTTGGCTAGTAGAGAAAATGAGACTATATAAAAATGTCATTTAAGGAAGTCTCTTTGAGCTATATCACATGACCCATGCTAGTCTTCTTTACTAAGGAAGTATTTCCATTGTCTGGATTTCTTGGTGGAAACAGACCATCCTTGAGCGTGCAAACTTCACACCCAATTTGATCATTCGTTCATCGCTAAAAATGCCAAGTGTGAGAAGTGCTGGGGATACTGTTGAGCAGGATGGCCCTGGTCTCCCTCCTCACAGAGCCTTCACACAAGTGAAGAAATCAGACGTTAAGACATTGCTGATCAAACTGTTGCAGTTAAGTGCATGCTGAGAGTGGAAGAGCAGAGGTGCCAGGGTGAAGATTAACAGGAGTGGGATTGCAACAGGAAGGAGACTCCAGAGACCACCCTGAAGAAAAGACAGTTTATGGGCAGGAGTCAAAACAAGGGCACACCAGGCAAGGGAACCAAAAGTGCAAAGGCCCTGTGGCTGGAAAGAACTCTAGGGAGATGGTTCCGTGAGTGTTTCCTGCATATGCGTGAGGCTATGAGTTCACATTCTCAGCACCAACGCATCATCTGGCTATGTGTCTGAAATCCCCTTGTTGGGAGGCAAAGACAGGTGGAGCTCACTGGCTAGCCAGCCTATTTGGAATGCCAGGCTTGGGGTTCAGTGAGGGACCCTGTCTCAAGGCAGTGAGGCAGAGTGATGGAAGCCACCTGAAGTCCTTCTCTGATGTCTACATGAGTGCATATGGGTGTATGCACCTGTGTGTACACACACACACAGACACACACAGACACACACAGAGACACACACACAGACACAGACACACAGACATTAAATTAAAATTAAAATATTAACACTCCCGGGCTGGTGAGATGGCTCAGTTGTTAAGAGTACTGACTGCTCTTCCAGAGGTCATGAGTTCAAATCCCAGCAACCACATGGTGGCTAACAACCATCTGTAATGATATCTGATGCCCTCTTGTGGAGTGTCTGAAGACAGCTACAGTGTACTTACATATAATAAATAAATAAAAATTTAAAAAAAAATGTTAACACTCCCAAGGAAAGAGATGGTAAAAGAGTGGAAACCCAAGGTCATCCCCAATGGCCAGAACTCTTTCAAGCTTGGTGCTTTCCCTTCAGATTCTCACTGAGAGTGCAACGCATGTAGTGGTGGGAAGCAACCATCCTTCAGTTGTTGGGAGATCCCCTGGAGGAAAACGCTGTCTTGTTTCTAGAAGGACTTAGTGTTATTTCCAGGGTATTTAGGTTGTGGATAGCGCTTCTGTAAACACTTGGCCACAGGTTTTTGAGGGATTGTGAGGGTAAACATCCAGAAGTCTCATGGCTGAATCATTTGGTGGCTATATGCTTCACTTTCTAGGAGGCCACCTGTCATTGGGGATCATTGGTACAGGTGGGCAAAGGGAGCAGAGGCAACGGAGAAGACACAGAGGAACCAGCTGCAGGGAGGGAGTCAGATCAGTGTTACTTGGGGTGATCCAAGGCTTATATAGTTTTGGGGGATGGGGTGTAGAAACATACAGGGTGGGCAAAGGTTGAAGGTTGAAGGCTTAGGATACTTAGGATACCGGAACGAGTCATTAGCATTGGGAAGCATCTCAGGAGTCTCAGGCGCTAGCTGAGTGGTTTCTTATCCAAAGGAAGGAAGCTGAACCTGGAATCTTAACCAAGCCAACTTGACATTCTACAGGTAGAGATGCTTGTGGGCTTGTGAACTCCCCGACAAGCTCAGAGAAGGGGGAGCCCTGCCAATGAAGGGAGGCCTCCATTATACACCAGAGATCAGAAGGCTATCTGGTCAATGGTAGACTTCGACCTTAACTAACAAGAGTTTCCGCACAACCGCCAATGTGTCTCCCAAGTGGGAACACTTCCATTTTGCATTGCCACTGGCAAGGTAAGAGCTGCTGTGGTCTTTTAATTTACTTTTGCCACACTCATATACATAGAAGTTGCTGTTTAAACCTTTTCACTATTTTTGAAGCATTATTGCCTTGTTTTTTTAATTTTCAGAGTCAATTATACATTCCAGAGACAAGTCCTTTGTTGGATATGTGATTTGCAAATATTGTTCTTCAGTATGTAGCTTCTTTTCACACTCTGGTTGAGTTTTGCTATTCAGCATCTTGCTTTGTAGCCAAGGCTGGCCTCCAACTTGCAGTCCTTTTGCATTAGCCTGCAGAATATTGACATCACACATGTGTATCACCACATCCAGCCTGATTGTTTTTCTGGAGACATGCTCTCATGTAGCCCAGGCTAGCCTTGAACTCTGCTCTTCTCACCTCCGACTGCCAGGATTACAGGCATGCGTCATTATGCCTGGTTTTATTTGGTGCTAGGGATGGAACCTGGGGCCTCGAGAACCTAGACAGGCACTCTACAAGCTGAGCTACATGTTCATCCATCTCCATCCAAATTGTGATCAGGCCCAACTCATTACTTTTATTTTTAGCTTAATGTTTTAATTGATTATTTTGGATATTTCACATAATGCACCCCAATATCATTCACTTTCCAGTCCTCCCAGGTTCACCCCCAACCCTTATGACCACCCCCAAAACAAAAGAAAAAAGAAAAATATCAAGTCCAATTTTTGTTGCCCACATACTTGCTGGAGCATGGTCAAACTCCCAGCCCCTTAAAGAGAACTGATTCCTTCTCCACCCCCACGGGAAGCCACCAACTGTGGGGAAGCCACCAACTATGAAGAGCTACACTTCAGCATCCCTGTTACAGTGTTTAAGAGTTCTCTTCAAATGGGGACCTACCTAGACTCTTTCTTCTTTGTGTGGTGACGGGGTGTGAGAGGAGAGCTTGTCACAGAAGCCTTCTATGTCTCTCCTTCTCAACTGTCAGTCTGTAGTCCATCAGACTACTGCAAAAGAAGCCTCTTTGCCCTTTAGAGCCAGTGGCAGCACGGATCATGGACTTCTGCCTGGTTCCTGGCTACAGCAAGGAACACAACAGTCTTTGTAGTTTCTCCCATCTCTGACTCCCTCCTCCTGCCCTGTTCTGCCATCTTTCCTTCTAATTTCGTGAGTTCACTTTTAAAAAGCATCTTCCCACAGGCCTGCCCTTCTCTAGTTTTTTCAGGGGGGAGGGCACTGCAGGCTTTGCAGACTCCTCTGCCTCATTCCCTCTCCCCCACCCTTCCCAGCCTCCATGGGTCTCTCAGGCTCCTGGGAGCTGCTCTGCAGAGGTGGGTGTCAGCTGCATTCACATCCATGCTTCAGGTTTTCATCCTCCATGTTGATGCCTTGTTCCTGGATCTGGTTCTGCAGCATCTGCTCCTCCATCTGCTACAGCAGCTTGTAGATGGGGTGGACCGACTCGAATCACTGGATCTGGGCCAGGATGGCAGTCAAGTTGGTCAGCCCATGCATGTGGAGGTCTTCCAGCCATGCTGGGTGGGCCACTTGAGCCTCCGTTTTTTTCTTTATGAATTATGCTGGGATGCTATATCTAAGACTGTTTAGCCTAACCCAAAGTTGAGGTGAATTTTTCTTTATGAGTTCTCTGAGAATTCTATAATTTAACATTTATATTTTAAGTTCATTTGAAGAGATACATAACGGATAAGTTAAATTCTGTTTTGTTTGTTTGTTTGTTTGTGTTTGTTTTGTTTTGTCTTAATCAGATGGAGAGTTGGTTTTTCTAGGGTTATTTGTTAAAAAGTCTGTTCTTCCCACCAAGTGGTGATAGTACACACCTTTAATCCCAGTACTTGGGAGGCAGAGGCAGGCAGATCTCTGAGTTCTGAGGCCAGACTGGTCTACAGAGCAAGTTCCAGGACAGCCAAGGCTACACAGAGAAATCTTGCCTTGAAAAAAAAAAAGAAGAAGAAGAAGAAGAAGAAGAAGAAGAAGAAGAAGAAGAAGAA